ATACACAGTCGATCTCGGATACCCGAAAAACCGAATGATTTCTGTCGCCGAGCGCCCGGCGCGAATACTTTCGATAATCGCGGCTCTTCGGTTGTACCCCGCACTGGGTTTCAACCTTGCGACTGTTTCGAAGTTATGGTAGTTTAGTACATGCGTCAAGCTATTTGAATGCCAATCGCGACATCTGCCAATGGTACTGAACGGAGGAAATATCAAATTGAAATTTGTCCGGATTTTGGCGACGCACCCTGTATATACGAGGCGATTTGCGTCTCTTGTTTTCTTTCGACTCAATCAATCGCGGAAGTAAGACGATATCGCGTTTTAATATTTTAATCAACAGTTGCAGGTGGGTATAAAATGTTAAACAAACATCCGGTTGTTTTTTATCAACTACAGATTTTATCGTACGACGTTTTACGTCAGCGATTCAAAATCAAAGCTTTTGATACTTCCTGTTACGTACATAGTTCACTGAGAAATTTTGACTACAGGTTTTTTGCTCTGATTGCGTATGTTTCGCTGTTCCAATAAAATTGCCCTTTCAATTTTCGGAAGAGAGAATGTCGCGTGAAAAATCTGTATTAAATTTGCTATCTGTCAATTTTTTTAAAAGCAGAAGAAGACTCTCGGCTCGATGAATTTTGTAAATAAAATTTAATTGAAAGAGTATCTGTATTAATTGAAACGCGCGCGCGAAAAGTTCGGTGATAAATTAATGATTAGCGAGTTACGGTCGAGTGGATCCGCGCGAATAAACTCGCGAACCCGCGCTCCGCGCGCATCGCATTCCATATACGAGATCCTCAGTGAGAACGGACGACCTAAATCGGCTGTCGTATAACTCTTTTTCAGAATTCGCAGTTTGTGTGGAACAGAAACATAAATTTAGTGCTGAGTGCGCGGGGAAAAAAAAAAAAAAAAAAAAGAAAGGGAGACGAATGGCGGCGCGCAGTTTTCCATGGTTTTCGTCGATTCGGCGGATATTTTCTCACCCGACGATGGGTGGATACAAGAGTAATTCATCCATTTGTGGGAAAAATATCAATGTCAGTATAAGCCACTTCTCGAGCCAGAAGGCATAATCCGTCGTATTGTGAGAGAGGAGACATCAGGATTACGAAGTTTTTCTTCGCCAATTTCTTGTTCACGGAATGATTGACGATGCCGATAAATCATTTATAAATCTCTAATCAACTTTACCTAATGCGATTAAATATCTAACAATTGTAATTGACGTGAGACAAATATCTGTATTATAATAAATAAATTTGTGACAACACAGATATGTGTTGCAAAAAGTTTCTTGATTTGAAAAATTTGGAATATCACAGTATACATATTTTTATTTTAACATGGTACGCGAGCGATGCACATGTAAATGATACGGTAAATTTATTTATTTATACGATTTATTCATCACGAAGATCATTTTATTAATAGTTGTTGTTCGGTATTTGCGTTTATTGCTGGGATTGCTTTTGTTTCCGCGCACGTTTCAGGTAAAATATTTTATCAAATTATATATGTATATTTCCAGTTAAAACAATATATACAATATTGTATATACATATGATATCGTTATGCCAATACATCAGCGAAATGAACTCGTTCAGAGTCGCTTTATTTGGGTAATTAAATTATTATTTATATATTTGAAGGTGCAATTTGCTTATAAACGTTTCCCAAAACACAAACTTTGCCATTTACGTCAAATACTCTAATTAATATGTTTTTGAGTTAATTGTTTGCTTGGTGTTAATTAAAAAAATAAAACCAATTATTTTTAAATCTTCGATTAAAATTTAAATTTTTCATTTATTTTCGATTGCTTCATTAATTAAAAAGATAAAAACAATTTATTTTAAAAATGTTTTTGATTAAGATTCAAATTTCGTAGTTTATTTTATTTTACATTGTGTATTTAGAGAAAATCAATGTTTGCAAATTTATGATAAAATTGTTTTTAAAGTACGTTTTAAGTAACGAGAGAGAAGCACGTACAAACCTAATAACCTAATAACTTAATCACAGAGTTTTCTTTGAAATAAATAATGAACAAGCGTTTTTAATGTTTTCATTTGCATAAAATTGGCTGTTACATGACACGTGAAGTGTTTTGTCTAAAACACAATACACAAGTTTGTGATAATCATCACAAACCGTTGTAAAGTGATGTGCTCTAATTTTAATTGTTTACCAACGTGAAATTACATATCACGCTTCGTTTAGAGATTATAAACATAGATCGTACGTGTCGAACTTTAAGTTGAGCTCGTACCAAACATGGCGAAAGTATACATCGTGCAAACCATGTCGAAATTAACATCAACATGTTAGTCTTATTACTTTAGCGCGTGCAACGTGTGCAATATATAAGACTATAAGAGCACATCGAACTATATCTATCTAATCAACTGCTCACGTCACTCAAATGATGTATGTGAAATATGTAACTATCGAGAAAGAGAAAGAGAGAGAGAGGGAGAGAGAAAGAGCATTCAGTTATTTTGAATATTCGAGAATGTAAAATGTATACGATAACAATCTGCGCATGCAGCTGTATCATGTAAATATCTACTATAATTTATGTAAATTATAAGCGACGCGGTCACAATTGTGTGCGGAGCAATTCCGTGTTCTCGATACGTAGCATATTTTAGCACTCACAGAAATGTCACCGCGGCGATTTGCGGTTTCAAAATCTCGTGCGTTTATCAAATTTACATGAATTCGAATAATTTGTCTATAAAATCCAACAATAAGTACAAATTTATACAAACAACTTTAATAATGCGTGAAAATGTGACTTTTTCTTACAGACGGAACAGTTCACGGTGCTTTGGCTGCTGTTTGCAGTGATCGTAGCCGGCAATTCCGCGGTCCTCGCCGGACTTCTGCTGGGAAAACGCAGAAAATCGCGAATGGACTTTTTCATCAAGCAGTTAGCGTTTGCGGGTAAGTGCCTATGTATATATATAACAATCGCGAACTTTGTTTAATGCCTCTTAATGTAGTTTCGTAAGATCTTGATTATTAATTTAATTTCGAAATAAAAAAACAAAAGCATCTTATTGCACTTGTATGCAATATAAACAATGTTTTAATACACTTCTGCGCTACTTTGCAAGATATTAATTGTTCGATATAACTATATGTACGTACAGACGAAACAAACGATCAAAACTCTTTCTTTCTTTCTTTTATTCTCTTTGCTAAACATTCTCCTTTGCTGTCAATATTTATCTAAAGTAGAATTGTGTAGATACGGGCTGTGTATATGCAGTCTTCTAATAAATCTCGTCGCTTTTGATATCGGTAATTCAGCACTTTCGAGAAAAAACAACAGCGCCATCCTCTTTCGTGTTTACGTTTTACGGATAAACACTTCTCTTCCTGTTTTTCCTGATTTATCTCTACACACAACATTATCGTGTTCAATGGCATACGTGTGTGTGTGTGTGTGTGAGAAAAAAAGAAAGAGAAAGAGAGTATGTATATTGTGCGCGCAACCGGAACATCGTCAATAAAAGATATATCTTTTTTGCAGTATCGCAATGATCGTAGAAACAAAAATATCGGATCTTTATATGAAACAGAATCGTAACGGTAGAATATTAGTAATAAAAAAATTCAACACAATTTAATTGAGGTTTTTTGTGCGTTCGGTGTAAAATAGCGAGAAACGTTATAATTGCGCGCTGGTGTGTATTGTAGCAAAGAAATACAATGAAAATATGCGGCATCGGGAAAAGCAATTTCTTTATTATATACGCTATGAGGGATATTAAGGATAGCTGTTGAGACTTTTCCGATAGCGCGATTACGCCAACACGCTTCGCATCAGAAATATATATATATATATATTGTCATTGTCGAACAAAAGATTCTTCAAATAACGACGTTGCAGATGAATCAATTCTTGCACAATGAGAACGCGACAAAAAAAAAAAAAAAAAAAAAATTGTTTTCTTTTCGACGATACGAACCGCGCGACGCGATTTTGAGATATTTTCTAAAATATATAAAAATAAGATATGAAGCGCCTTCGTTTTCTTTTTGTCATTTTATAAAACATTTACACAGCAAAGAAAAGTGTGTCTTTATTAAAAAATAATGTATCACACACACACACACACACACATTGCTTTTTTTATATCCACTTAATAACGTAAGAATTTTGTTATTATCAATATTATTGTGTTATTATATATTTTTTCGCAACTTGAAAAGTTCATGTAATATAAATTGATATATATTGCTTTTACAATATTAGAGTTTTCGCTTAGTGTGCAGCGCATGTGTTTATTAAAAATGCAATTAGTTTTCAATTTGTGCTTTCAATTTTTGACATTAATATTGCCATCGGTGTTATTGAGTTGTGAGAGTGAGCAAAACTTTTTCACTTCGTCGATAAGATATGAATGATGAAAAAATTGAAAGTAAGACGGAAGTTTATTTGAAGAATCAACACTCATTTCACGATCATGATCGAGAGCGGATTTTAGATCCGAAAAATATAGAATAGTTCATTAAAGATAATATTATATTACTCTTTGTGACGCATGAATGTTATAAGAATCATTTTTTTGCGCATTCAAACCTGCTTAGATATAAATCCACCAAAAAAACTTTTAATTACTTTCCTTAATCCTCGGAGAACACACTGGGTCAATTTGACCCTGTTCGTCGACTTTGATCAAAATATTTTGCTTCAATTTTGCTTTTTTGTAACATATTTTTTACAATGTTAATAATGTTAACGACACTTAAAAACTATATAGGCATATTCCAAACTGTTCAAAATATATCCGGAAAATTTTTTCAAGCCAATCGGATAAGTGCTTTTTAAATGGTAGCATCTCAAAAAGTGGACAGGGTCAAATTGACCCAGATTGTTCTTCTTGATTAAAAAAATAGGTGTGTTCCCCGAGGGTTAATCAGATATTTTTCTTAAAAATGAGCGCGAGATATAGAAGCGTTAAAGACATCCGGAGAAAAATTAAAATTCCAAATTAAAAAATAGTCTGCACGTTTTAGTTAGTGTGTAACGTTGTAATATAATAGTTGGCGCAACTTTTGTACGAACTTTGTAATTTTTGATGATACAAACCCTCGGTTTAATTATTCTGGAACATAAATTATTTACGGCACACACGTATATGCGCGATGTTTCGTGTCTTCATAAGAAAATTAACTCCGCATGAAAACAGCTCTTAATTACATTGTGATATTTCTAATTTCGAATCTGACAAGAACAGGACACCGTCGGAAGTACCGACTGTGAGAAAATTAACGCTGCGCAGAAGCACACAGCCTCTTAATTGCATTGCAATGTTTGTGAAACGAACTCGACAAAATAGAGAATCATCAAAATTTATCGATGTGGTGGGTTTGCGTAAAGTTGTATGTGACGACACGTGAAAACGGGAGAGCATTTTGCGTTATAAGGATTGTTAACAATGATCGAACGGAAAATCGTCGAAATTAGTTCGTCGAGAAACTTGCTATGATCGATATACGTCTGGATATTACTCAGAAAGCCGTTGATGATAATCTCCGTCTCTAACAATATCGATAATTAGTTTCACCGTTCCATTAGGAAATGGTGAAACGCAATCGATCTTCGGTGTATCTTGTTGCAGATCTGCTGGTCGGCCTAATATCCGTATTGACAGACATTGTTTGGAGAGCGACGGTCACGTGGTACGCGGGCAACATAGCGTGCAAGCTGATAAGATTTATGCAAGCCTTAGTTACTTACAGCTCGACCTACGTTCTCGTGGCTCTGTCAATCGACAGATACGACGCCATTACCCGTCCGATGAACTTCTCCGGCAGCTGTGAGTACATTAGCGCGTATTATATGACCTGAAGAGAGTCTTTAATATTAAATCCTCTCGCAAAGCGGCAAACCTCGAGCCAAGCGGGGTCTCATTAATTCAGTTGAAATTACACGATAATGTACAGAATGACTCGACCCGTGAATGACGCCTGACCTCACAGACAAAAGGCTACTCTAATATTCTCTCTCTATCTCTCTCTCTCTCTCTCCATTCCGCATGAAAACCTTTAACTGCCATTACAGAGCTTTAGGAAATGATAAATTCCGATGCTACGATAGTTTCCCAAGAAGAAAAGATTTCCGAAAAAAAAAAAAACAATATATATACTCTTCCAAAAAAACAAATATATAAACTGAGAGAAAACGCAGTTAAAGAAAGACAACGTGTCAACATTTGGGTACGATTTGCAAATGGCAATTAATCCTTCGCTAATCAAAGTTTTGTGACATTTGATTTATTGTTTTTATTTTTTTCTATTAGAAAAAAATAAAAACTTTACTCTATTAGACACGCTAAACGATAAATAATTTTTCGCAAAAAAGTAGAACTTGTATAATAATTATCTATAATTTATAATAATTTCTAATTATCTATAATAATATTTCTAATTATCTATAATTATCTATAATAATTTCTAATTCTTTCAATATCAGAGATTTGTTCGATAATTGAGTCAGAAAATATTAAAAATATACAAATTATATTGAGTGAAAGAAAAGAACAAAGAGGAAATGAAAGAAAAAAAAAGTAAAATAGACTATATCACTTTGCGTCAATTTAATTTAATCACAGTTGAGTGAGACAGCAAAGTTATTTTTAATTTGATACTTGTCACGTAATTTGATCTCGACGGACCGACGGCAGGTCAACAATGTGGTTAAACACGTCAAAGGCTAGTTTGCTATATCTGTTAGTCACCCCTAAATGAGAACCAGCACGGCAAAGTGCAGCTATTCTCGCGTTTGTAGCGATTGAGAGACAGCGTGTGCGAATCTCTCTGTTGAAGAGTTTACTCTTTTATTTAAATTTCTTTAGTTGACGTATCTATACGTTTCGCGAAATTGCTTCGCTCTCTCTCTCTCTCTCTCTCTTTCTCTCTGCCGGACATTACACTTTATATATTGTGATTTCTTTTCTATTTCTACTCAAGAACTTTCATAGAATAGAATTTTCACAGTGGCAAAAATCCAGCATCATTCAGCATTCGGCGAAATGTCGCAGCGATATCTGCAGCGACTGCCAACACAAGTCAGTCTAGCGATTCATGCAATAACTTCGCTATGTTCTGTCACAAAGTTAATTGACTGCTTTGAGCGTCGCGATCGTGAATTTCTTGTTTCTTTCTCTCTCTTTCTCTCTCACTTCCTTCCTTTTTCGACGATCTTTTCTTTTGTCTTTGTCGAGAATCTTTCTTTTTTTTTGCAACAAAATAAAGAATAGAAAAAAGACAGCGTGTTACTGTTCTTTTGCGTCTTTCAGGTCTGTTATATCGTTTATCACACGGAGGTATCTCACGGATCGTTGAGGTGCGTATCGCGCATCCGAATAAAATTTATCTTCCTATCGACTTTTTGGCTCGTCGATAGAAGTTGAAATTACTGTGAAAGCTGCCATCCAATCACATTCAACCATCGCTCGATACTTCATCACCACCAGGGAATTAATGCAAATAAATTATTTCGTGCCATTAGCCAAATCTTGGATATTACAAAACCGAAGCAGATTGAATCCGATTTCGTTTTTCAATAGAAAATGATTGAAATTGCGCTCTGCGAGAAACAAAAAGAAATAAACGCGCGTTTCGCGCTTATATTTAATAATTAATGACATTAACAGAAAAAAGTACATACAAAGACAAGGATTTTTAACACAATAATACGAAGACAAAAAAAAGTTAGAAAAAAGAGCGGGAAAACATTAGTGTGTTTGTAAAAATAAACAATTCAACAATAAATCTTTCGAACGTCTAAGAGCCTAAACTTTGATCATTTGTATTGATTTTCTTCAATCTGATTAGTAATATTGTTAAAAGAAACTTTGAGTTTGTTTGTCGTTATCTCGTCCAAACTACAATATCCTGATGATAATGATTAATAACAACAAAGAAGAACTGAAAGAGAAAAATAATAAATGATCGCAAAACGTCTATTATTATAATTATTTATTCATTCCCACGCAGCTTCACGTTCCTTTTTTGCATCTTTGTTATTTCAGTTTCAATTTCAAAGAGAGCATTACGCTTTTATCCTTATTTAAATAGGATTCCAAGTTAATCTATTTTTATTAAGTCTGTTATATGGCTTTTTTTTTATACGCTTCAATGTTAAGATACATTAAAATTAATTGTCGTAATCGCGACAGCAGCAAGATTAATAGACTTGTGATAATAGACAATTACATCGTGTAACATCTTTTTTTAGATTAATCTGAAGCTATATAAAGCTTATTGACTTTTTATACGATCTTGCGATTTCTGCGTCGCGAGAAAGTTTTATGTTTCTTTTCTTCTGTTTTTTTTCTTTTTTCCGAAACATCTAGCTGTGTGTCGTAAAAACTTGATATCACGATAAATATCACATTTGTTTTACGCGTATGTCGCAAACTTTTCGCGTATTCGCTTGCGTCCGTTGATATTTGAGAAGATACATGTTTGCGTCAAATTCAAAATAAAAAAAAAAGAAAAAAAAAACATTGTCGCGTTAGTCAGATATTTCTTATTTACCTATTATTTCGCTCGTTTACGTGACAATAGTTACAACTCGAGTGTATATAAATATAAAAAAATTGAAATATATCTGTTGAGCGACAAATCGGTTTTATTTTTGTTTTATTGCAGGGTGGAGAGCTCGAGCTCTGGTAATAACGGCTTGGGCTCTGTCAGCCTTATTCAGCGCGCCGATTATATTTCTGTACGAGGAAACCCGAATACAGGTACACACGCATGTTCAAAAACTGAAAATGGACACGGAGCACAGCTAAAAGGATTTCTTCAGTCTCAAAACACTTTCACACTTAAAAGAGAAATTAATTTTAAATCGTTTAGAGAATATATTGCATGACTGTTCGAGAATAATATCGTTACCGAGACTCTCACAGAGAAAATAAAACTGCATACAATACAACACGCGTTAGAACAACGATATTATATAAATGTTTCTCTGTTTAAAAAAAAATTTTTTTTCTAGTCAGATTTCGAAAAATTTCAGCATCAAAATTTCATCAGATCGTTTTCTTAGGGTACAACGCAGTGCTGGATCGATTTGGGCTCGCCGATCCAGTGGAAAATCTACATGACACTGGTGAGTATCAGCCTCTTTATAGCACCCACGCTGATAATAGGAGGCTGTTACACGGTGATCGTGATCACGATTTGGTCACAAGGATCCGCGCTACGTCAGGGACCCACGAGAGACACTCGAAGAGCGTCGTCGAGAGGACTGATTCCCAGAGCGAAAATCAAAACCGTCAAAATGACTTTCGTCATAGTGTTCGGTAAGGCGCTTGGAAATTTTGCTGATGCAAATGTCGTTTTTTTGAGTCACGGTGTAATATCCAATTGAAACATTGACGCGCATAAAACTCACACGTGGAACTTTGATATATTTATATTGCACAAAAAATAATTTTAATTTCTATTACATTAAAACGTAGAAACGTTCTTTTCAAAATGAGAGATTTTTATATAATTAAAAATTAATTTTAAAATTCTTGCAATAAGTTCGGTTTTTTTCTTTGATCACTTCTTCGCCGCTATGTTAAAGAGCTTTTAGAAATCTCGAGTAAACAACGTGTATTTTGTTTTATGTTACCTTTTTTTATGTCTTCAGCATAGTATACAAACACTATGGCGATAAGGAAAATGTCACAACGGTCAAGTTTACTTGGCAACAAGAAAAAGTAATAGCTTCCTATCGTAGATTCCTTCTATGTCTTTGATATGGGATCGGGGCGAACCGTTTTATTTGCGCGACGTAAAAGACACACCACAAGGAGATAAGCGGGTACGCTTGCTACTCGATCCTCCTATACGAAGACAAAAGAAAAAGAAGGTTGCGGATATATATATAGGGTGTAGTTGGGAAAAAACAATGCAATAAACCGAATATAATTGAATATAAATTATGGATGAGAACTTGAGAAAAACTTATTTATTTACTCGGTTGTTTTACAAACGACAAACCTTTCGTTTCGATATTTTATCAGTTGTATATAGATAATTAGAATGACTTGACGCGACAATAAACTGCCACTACACGACAGAAATACATTTCACAAAACCTTGCTTTTTTTTTTTTATAATAAATTTGTTTTCGAAAGAGACTGATGAAAAATGTTTCGTCGCGAATTGAATATTTAAGATATTGAAACACACGTATATAATTTTTTTATATTTCCAATGTAATAAAAAATTAAAAACAAATATAGAAATATATAAAACATTTCTACGGCTAAATTTAAAAAATTTAGAACAAACGCGTTTTTTCTACAACGGCCGTTTCACAATCTGATTTATATCAATGACGTTTTTGACAGTCACAGTGTAGAACGTTCACGCGACTTTTCCGGAGTAGCTCGTTCAAGAAGACAATGTCGTCTTCTTACGTACACGAAAAATCGCCCGAGCTAATCAGATTCGCTTCCGACAATTGACTAAGGCGAAATTTTTTTTTTTTTTTTTTTTTTTTTTTTTTTAGCTGACGACAACGCGACGACTCGATAGAAAGATCGATCGAATTCTCCCCTTCGTATATTTTCCGAAACCGAGAAATCTATGGAATTTCCCATAACAGCCAAAAGCACGAAGAAGTAAAGGAGCTGTTACGTATGCGGCATAAATCTTGCGTGTAACGAATGCTTCGTAACGGGAACGTAATCTTGTTTCGTGATTTGAAATTACCATGCGCATAATGTATCGCGCGTATTGCAGTCGCGCTTGTTGGTGACGTGTTGCTTTTCGTGCTCCGAAAAGCTCATAAATTTTCGTGTATCGACAAATGTTTCTATACAGTATGAATATTTTTTATTTGCATATATTATAAAAAGAGAAGAAAGTTAATGTAAAAAAGTACGTATAGGAAAAGACCCAATTACTGTTACCTGTTCAATTAATGTCACTCTAAGTTATTTTATTTAAAATATTAAATAAATCCTAAAAAGTTATGCATGAAAACAATCTAACATAAAATTTTAAGTGCAATTAATATAACAAAAACTCTCCAGCACTCAACATTCGTGTCTCATTTTTTTCATTTTAGAGATAGCTCTCTCGCATCGTTCTTTTTTAATTATTAAATTTATAAATAAAAATAGAGATTTTGAGAGGCGGTATATTATTTTGTTTCTTATATTAGAGACATCGAATAATACCAGATAAGAAGAAAAACACATGTTTTTGATAAATAAGTAGCAAAAACAATTCACTAACGCCAGAGTTTATTATTCAGGTGACAGTAATTGGGTCTTTTACCCTAGTTTTTATGAACACTAATATACGTGTAAACTATATGTTGCAATTAATTGTTAATTAAACGTACATTATTATTGCAAAACAACTAACATTATTTCTGAAATTAATATGTATTAATTAATTTCATAAATTTCCTGAAGCAGATTTTTAATTTTTTATTTACATCATCTCTTTTTATAAATAATTACGCGAGTTTAGGGAATTGTTATTATTAATTTTATTTTTCTTCAACGCGCCTAATTGTGCGTTTAAAATGTTTATAACGAGGTTTATTTTTTATAAGCTTCAACTTTGATCTAAACTTTTTACGCGTAACGTAAACAAAATTTGTTAACTAAAGTTAAATTATTAATTTTACTTTGACATTTACGCGTTTTTTTTGTAAATTTTTGTTTTTTTTTCTTTCTTTTCATTTTAATAGAAAGTGTCGGAGCAACTTAACGTGTATGTGCTGTATTTGTACGCCAACAATATCTTCGTTCTTGAAAGAAGAACAGATACATTTATCTGTCACTTATAAAAGAGAACGCGTACAATGCGCGTCGTTCATTGAATCTCTTCGAGATATTTATACGTTCCGATCGGTCATTAGAGCGTTGCACACTCACCGCGAATGACGAATCAAGCTTAACGGCGAATTAATGAGGTTTTGTTTTGTGAAATCATCGATCACTGTGCTGTAGAAGAGGTAATATATTTGTTCTACATTTACTTCACATTTATTAAGACTGTTTTAAAAAATGCTGATGCGCGTTGAGATTTTTTACGCTTTACACGTCCCGTATATTTGACAATTTATAAAAAACACGTATTTGAACGTGTTCTTTCATATTACTTTATCGACGTGACCGTTGCGATTTTCTTTTTTCCGGTAGAATAACTTTCGCCTTACTTTTCGGAATCGCTTTCTCAAGTTTGTTCATTAGACCGCAGATGCGGCCTCTGTTTCCGAAATTACACACACTTTTGCGGTGGATTCCATTATTGCATTTTCGTTGTTTTGTATTTACTGTTTGCTAATGGATCAGCAATATCATTTGAGAAAAACGGAAGAGTATTTTACTTCGTAAATGTTGTTCCGTAAACGAGAAACGGATTAGTCGCGAAAGCAGTTTAAGATGCGTTGTATTGCCTTTTTTAAGCGTGAAAAAAGCTCGCCGTGCGTCAGATGTTCTGTCATTTTTCGCGTTTCACGACTGATACTTTCTTGCTTCATAGTTTTTCCAATATCGACAATTTTATCGCAATGGCTCTTAACTTTCTTTTTTTTTTTTTTTATAGTCGCGCGGATTTATTTGAAAATTTGAAAAGACCCATCAGCTTTGAATCTGAATAATATCTGTCGATATACACATTTTGCAAAGCTGGTTCCTTTTTGTTAGAGATAAAGTTAGAATAACATAAAACAAGTTGTAAGTTTGATAACATTTATAATAATACATTATGTTGAATTACTTTAGCAACTGATTGTAAAACTCATATAATCCGATAAATAAATGTGAAAAATAAAATAAATAAACTAGCAAAGATTTATTCGGTCAATACAAGCCAATGTGCCAGGTGCAAAATATATATATATATATTTTTTGTTTTAATTTAATTGTATAAATTAATACACATGATAATATGAATTTGATTTAATTTGAAAATTTATCTGAAAAATATATAAATAAATATAAAATATAAAGTTAACACTTGGAATTTTTCAAGATAGTTTATTTTTCGCTGTAGACAGAGAAATACTTTCTCATGTACATTTTCGATTTTACGAGACATTGGACTCGATATCACATCGTTTCAGAAAAATATAGAAAATTGAACCTTGAAGTCGTGTAAGTGACATCATCGCGATAACAATAATAACCAAGTTGTCCGTAACAAGTACAGAGTAATGGTCCGATACGCTTGCTACAAATCTCTATTGCTAAATCTGTATTGCAGTTTTTCAAGACAAAAAAAATCAATTTTTCTTTAAGTGTTTGATGTCTTTTAAAAATCTTAACTAACGGAAACGCACGCTCTATTATTTTATATTGCTTCAAAACTTTCAAAAATAAGTTTACGGTCTCGCTGGTCTCTTCGTTTCGCGCAATCGTCATTTTATTATTACACGCCTGAATTTATTGACACGTATCACTGTCTAATGCATTTTTTGTATTTCGCTACATAAATCTATCTTCTTGCCGTTGTTTTTGTTTTTCTCCGATCTTTACGAGATTTCACTGTTTCATGAGCTCTCTACTCAGAGCAAATAAAAGAAGAAAACGCCGCGACTATACACTATCGCTAAAGCGGAAGCAGCCATATAAATCAGCGTAATACAAAGAGATAAACGGAATGTTTTGTTATTTCTAGATTGTTAGATTCGTTATCCAGAAATGGAATTGACGTAAACTTTTTCTCTCTTTCTCTCTCTCTCTCTCTCATTTTGATAAGATTTTTGTATTTAACGTATTAGTAATTTAACCCTTAGACTACGGAGCGCGATTATTTAAAACTAATTGGTTTTGCGTAAATGAAACTTAATTTTCAATATTTTGACTCCAATCCTACGAACTCAAATTATTACATACATGTAATTTTTTCGTGTTTCAGTCTTCATTCTTTGCTGGAGTCCGTACATAGTGTTCGATCTTCTTCAAGTTTATGGTCACGTGCCAAAAACTCAAACCAATATTGCGGTAGCCACTTTCATACAAAGTTTAACGCCGCTCAACTCGGCTGCCAATCCGATCATTTATTGTCTATTCAGTACGTCGTTTTGCAAGACAATACGGTGAGTACGTGAGTCAAGTGTGTTCGTTTTAATCTTACACGAAATATATGTCAGTGTTAATAATGTCTTTTGTTTGAATTACGCACAACCCGAGTCGAAATTTAGCGTCTACATTAAACCTCAATTTTTCTTTTTTTATGTAGGAGTAAGAAAAAAAGTAGATGCTACTTTGACGCTGCTATACGTCCGAAATTTCTTTTTTTTTCAAAAATTGAGGTTCAATGTAGACGCTAAATTTCGACTCGGGAACTCATAAAAAAAAAGAAACCATTATAACTTCGGAAATATATGTCGCGTGTGAAAAAAATGTAAAAATTCTGACGATAAAATTCTGAATCTTGGAAGACTATGTATAACAGACCAGAAAATTAAGCACTTTTCCTTCCTTTTGTGTATTAAGTGTTTTCTGTTATTGCAACGTTTTACACATTATTATTTAATTAATCGCAAAGAAATCAAAGAGAGTAAAATTCCTAATCTTTTTTTTTGTTTCTCCGAACAACACTGTGTGCAATTGATCTTTGGTCACGGAATTTCCTTAATTAAACAGCAGTTATTGCTCGGTAGAAACATGCAGGCAACCTCGTGGATTTCGGGATGGTGTCCGTCCTGCTTCGGTGGCGGACCGACGAACAGCAGCAGAAGAGCGACCGTAACGACATCGCTGACGGCGCAATCTTCTCGCAGAAACGGACACTTCACTATGCTGCACTCCACGTCGCGAAAACGCGTTATGGTCTCCTTGGTCTAAAGAGAGGTCGCGAGAATGAACAATTTCCATGCGGATTGATGCTCTAGCTAAGTATCTTGGTACAAGAAATGCATTTACTTAAGGCACACACGTCTGTGCTCAACGACAGACTCAATCGTTGCGCGGAGAACGTAAGTTGATTTTCTTTCGTCTCGAACGAATAATTTTGGGTGAACATTTATTTATTTATTTTTTTTTTGTGAAATAATCTCATATTCAGTTCGAAAATATATACCGGCCGGCAAATGTATCCGAACTATATTCTCTTTCTAATGTAATTGCCAGAAGAAAGAAAGTAGTTCTCGAAATAAAATTTTACTTTTTTGATTTAACAACATATGTTTGTGACTGTTTTGCTTTGATTTTTTTTCTGCTGTAAGATTCAGTGACTAGAGAGATCGACGTACTTTTTAGTGATCGCGTGTATTTTAAATTATGATGTAATACATAATATTAAAACTGGCGATCTACCCGATAGTTTTTGGTGTTTCGTCGCTAATTTTCTAAGTTTCTATCTCTATATGTACGTAAAATACCGATGCTCGTCTTGTAGACGATCTCAACGATCTCATATTGCGCTTCATGCATCACGTAATCTTGTTTAGTAGTTTCTTAATGAAAATACAGAAAATATATTGAGGAAACTCTGTACATATTATATAAGTTATGTTACACGATCCTCTTTTAAACTTTTAGAGACTGTAAGTGGCTATAAATAACAAAAGATAAATAAAGCACACGACTAAAAGCCGTTGTAATTAATTTTAATTATATTAACTATAAAAAAAAGTGTATGCCTCACACTCGAAAACATTACAGAACCATTGTTATTAAAGACAAATAATTAATTTCGACGAGAGAAATCTTGTCAATATTTTATAATTTAAAAATTATACATTTTATATCAACATTAAAATATAATTTATTAAATACCAATATTTTTAATAACATTTATAAGAAATGTTTAAATTCAAAAACATACAATAATCTTTTAAATTTTAAAAATGCTAAAAGTTTTTCTCTCTAATAAAGAAAGAATTGCATAAAGAAATAATTACATTATGCTCTTACAAAACAGAATTCATGATATGAAAAGAATAATTACGTTCTGAGATATCTCATACAGTGCAAATATAATCATCTTGTATGACAAAAGAGACCTTACAATCACGTAGAGAATAAAACATGTACAAAGGTATAAGCGCATACGGCGGTAGTTTTAATAATTTTATCTACGGATTTTGTATGACTTCCACATACCGTCCACATTAATAAAGAAATGATAACGTTACGTTTTCAAATTTATTTTGCTTTTTTTGCTGCTTTTATTGTTCGGTTAATTCACAAAGAGCGCAGTGCGCTTTGTTCTATTTGTCGTAAATTCATCTTTGTGTAATATTTAATTTTGTATTTTATGAGCTTTTTAGTCTCTTTCAGAAATGCTAATGTGACGATAATTTTATATTATATATTCAAGTTGTAATTTTTCGAAATAGATTTCGATCGAAATAATGTTGCTTTTTAATTCTTTTTTGTTGTAATAACAAGAAAACAAACATTTCGATCGGAATAAAAAAAAGTTCTAAATAAGTATATAATAACTATTCCGAACAAATCAATTCGCGATCGTAACTGTTGATCTTCATAATTAATGTTGCTATATTACTTGTATATATATTGTAAAGAGTGTCAAATATATTTATATATTATAGTATAGTATATATCACACACACATCCACATACTCTTGCTCGGTTTTCTTTCCACTTAATGTGTCAGACATATACAAGTCTATATATAAAATATCTCTGAGAACGTTTAAAAAGTTACTTTAAAAAAAAACACATTTTAAAAACAGCTCATATTTATGTATGAATTTGCAGTTTTACATAAACAAATAAATGCAAATAAAATGACAAAAATAAATAAATGTAAAAACAATAAGAATATATGTGTGTGTAACATAATACACTTTTGATCTAGCAAAGAAACTAGTCTTATCTTTAAAAAATACTATTTCTTATATCTTCAAAACTATTTTTCAATATTTTTATCGAAACTATGTTTATTGTATTACTTGTAATAATCATTTTAAAACAAATAATGCCAGTTTTGGTGTTTAAATCGTAAATCTTTTCTTCTTAAATTACGACGTAAAAGAAAATAAAAACACTTTTTTATTAAAATTGATGATTTTTTACTAGTCAAATCAGCAGTAGATTGTTTGAATAAGCACAAAAACTAGACTTAAGGAAACTGCGTAAAATAGATATATATATATATGGGCATATTTAATTCAATAATTGCGTGTGCACGTACTAAAAGTATCGACATTAAGGGAACACTTTTGTTGAGTGCGATAATTTCTAATTAAATAGTCAGTACTTTTTAGGCTCGATCGATTGCGATGATACCTTTTATCCTACTCATTTTCTTTTTTTTTACACGCGATCAATTCTAAAAATACTCATATTTGTTATTATAATAAGGGTAATGTATTCTCTGTAACTTCTGCAAGTATAAACGAAAGAAGTTAGGAACAATTTCATGGAAAACAAAAACATTTATGAGTAGCTGTCTGCAGTATACATTTTACAATATTAGTATATTTATCAACAGTGACGCATGCGCAGAAAAAGAGAGAGAGAGAGAGAGAGAGAGAATTTTATATTACCCATTATGTATATTTGCAATATGTGTATAACATAGATTATTTTTATATACATACAGGGTGTTCTATTTTAAACTAGCTAGTCGAAAACTGAGTTCACACACGCGAACAAAAATGTTTTACACACAATTTATAGGGTTCTGAGAAAAAGATTTTGTTGTTTTAAATAGAAAGTGTTACTTTAAATAGAAATTGTATCACATAAACAATGACAACGCGTTAAAAAAATCCAAATAAGTGCGTCTAATAGTATGGGATAAAACTGCTCATTGAAAATTGTAATTTCGCGCGAACTTGCAAACTCTGCGCAACTAGGTCTACGGCGACAATCATGATAATGAATTTCATGATGTGTTGTTAGTCTGTCCGTCCGTCCGTCTGTGAGTAGCGTATTCCGTAGTTCTAAACGGGAAACTTACACACATCTACACGTATCCACGCAAGCAAGCAAGCGCAAGCAAGCACACATGCACACACACATACGTTCGTGCGCGCATCATTGTGATGGAAATGAGCGAAATTGCATTTTTTTTTTATTGCTAAATAACTTCTAAACTAATGGACATAGTTTATACATGCATTAAAGATTTCCTGTACAGACTTGAGTGTTTTTTTCAAAATTGTTACAAAAAATACCACTTTTTATTTAAAAAAAAAAAAACAAACAAACAAACAAGAATAACCTTATATAACTTTGAGGAATGACAGTAGTTGTAATTCAAGATCACTATCTCATTTTCTCGGAACTCTATAAATTTTGCTTAAAACGTTTTTATCTGCCTTGTTCGAGTTTTCGAGATATTCGTCTAGCTAGTTTAAAATGGGACACCTTATATATATATATATATATATACACTCTAACTTTTACATACAAACAATAGCTATCGAGAAAGTGACCGAGATAAAAGGTACCTACAATAAATATCGAACAGCCTGTGTGGAAAATAATACGCTCAAACTATACAGTAGACATGTGTATTTGTATGTGCTGCACAATAAGTATAATGAAAACGAAAATGTGAAAATTACTTCTATCTATCGCGTGTACATAAAAATAAATGATCATGATGTAACACGTGTACGGAATGATGTTGTGTAATATATCAATGTGTATAATATATATGTGCGTTTTTCTTCTGTGCTTTTTTGTGAGTGATATGATACTCTCGAAAACTCTCAAAAAAAACAGTATCTTGCAATCTCTGTTCGAGTTGCGGATCCAAGCGTTGATACATCGACGACACGTTTTGTCAGATTTTGTTTTATGTAGATTATACACACACACAAACAAATATATACATATAACGTATATGGATAAAAGGAAATTGTTTATAACAGATAAATATTAAAAAAAAATAAGAGAGTATATAAGAATGTCCGGATACAGGAGTACGTGGACAACTGTCCCTTTAATCTACGCCTCCACTATCATAACACGATTGCGCTAATATATAAGTGTAATACAGTGTCTGTTCAATCATCAGTGTCTTAATATTAATTCAACAAGAGATAAAAACTTGATATAAACTTGCTCTAAATCCGAAAATAACGCCTAAGTGTGATTGAGAATGTTGCACAATTTGTAATGTTATATTCTATTAGTAAGCCGCGTTATTCTTTCAAACATCAAATAATTATATTTGATATATTTTAAGTACGTTTTAAGTACGTGATTCATTATTGTCTTTTTATTAATTATTATTTCTCACGATATACATATTGTGTCACTCATATTCACTGCAAAAGAAATCCAAAAGGAGAGTTGTTTTATGATATTTTTATTAAAGAATTTGTTTGCAAGATCTACGCGTTTATACGAAGTTTATTCGATTTGCGTTTTATCATTCAGTTGACATTCAGTTGACAAGACGCGGCTTATTAAAAGCCTGTCTTTATTTATTGCTGACTCAAAAATTGTTTTCTATCCTTTCTTTGTTCAACTATGTAAATCTAAGTGATAAACCGCTTGTTGCGAAAAATTTGTCAGAAAGAACCAAGAAATTCTCAATGCGCGAATTATTATGCGTTAAAAATAAGTATACTGATATACGTGTATACATATGTATATCTTAAACGCGCAAATGTATGCTACGTATGTACGTGTGTCCAATTCAGTTCTTTTCGCACCGTTTAACGTGTAAGAAAAAAAGAGTTAAAAATATTATATATAATTATCTTATCACATGATCTTATCTGTATATACATTGCGCGAGATAATGAGCTACTGTTTGTAGATAAAAATAAAGCTGTAATAAGTGATTTATCTGAAACACATCTTTCGCCGTACTATTATTTACATGTTGTCACATCTCCTTTGATCTCACTTTTTCTTCTTTGTATTAAAATATACGTGTTACTTTATGTAACAGATTTTTCATTAATATTCATTGTCATTCAAAGAAGTAATTTAACATGTTTCTCGCAATGTTTTATCAACGAATGTAACGTTCTCCGCAGAACTTCGTCTAATTATTACATGGAATTTGAGATTTTTAAATCGAATTTTTAATTCGAGTGAATTCAACAAATTTCAATAATTTTTGTAAGCACTTTAAATATTTCATCATATTGCTCGCTTGTTGTACTCGTTTAAGAACATATACAATATTTATTTGATGTGTATATTTGATACGTATATCTGAACTAATTAGTAGTGTGTTCATTTTCGTGTGCTCTGTATACATGTATTTTGCGCGGACATGCAAAAGCTTTTTTGCTCGCGCATTATAGTCTGGTGTCAAATCGTGCGACAAAAAATATGACATGTACTGCCCAACCAAAATGAAAAAGTTCTCTTCATTTTGTTTTTTTTTTTTTTTTTTTTACGACTTATATAATCCTGGCTGCAAAGCACAAAACGCACCAAATAAGTCTAACTCAGTCGGGATCATGTACGGACGTGTATATGTACGAGAGAGTTTCTCACAAATATATTAGAAACTATATTGAATATCTATTTTTTCATTAATTTTTTAAATAAGATTCTCTAAGTTTAACAAACTAAAATAAAGATGCAAAAGTACTGGTCTTCAATATTCAAAAAAAATTCCGAATTACTAGAATAGAATTAATTACTACATGTTGATTAAGCAAAAACCTCTATCATTTTTTTTTTTTTTTTTTTTTTTTTTTTATCGAATATCATCGATAATCACGAATTTTGACGCGTGACGTGTAAAGAAAAAAAAAAAAGAAATTCGGTAACCAATGGCCACGCTGTGAGGTTAGAGATTTAAAGAGAGATTTTTTGCGGTGATCACACACACACATACACATGTAGCGCATGTGTTACGTAACGTTTCCATTTCGCTCTCACCCCTTTGACGAGGATATGTGAAGACTCGGGGGAAAAGAGATTCTGGTCGTTTAGGTCGGCGAGGGACCTGCCGATCCCATGACCGTAATTCGCAGCAGTCGTTATTTACCGCCCGTGAAAAAAAAGGGACAAGAAGAAGCGTCAGCAGTCCGGCAGAAAGAAAAGTGCGAAAATCATTTTATTCTCAATTGAGACAGATTAAATTTGAAGAGCCACCACGATCGCGCGCGCGGAAAATTTTTTTCACTTGGAATCTCGACACAGATGGAAGCTGATATTTTTCTCTCTGTCTGAAAAAAAAAAATATACGCGAAAAATATACGCGAGAGAAAAATGAGAAATGATAACGCGCGTGAAAGTGTAGAAACAGACGCGAGAAAATTTTTTTTTTTTCAGTAGAACGAGTATAATCTGACGTCTCTCGCAAATTCTGATTTTGGTGGCAAAACGGCGTCTTGTTTGTTGTCAGTCTTATCGACGAGAACAATGTCGTTCGATCGCTACGGAACAATGGATCGTCAACAAGATCGATTGCGTACGGACTTCAAGTATCCGCACAATTGTTACACAACGGCCTGTTGTAAGTCTTTCGTTAGAAGTCCTTGCGCCGAACTTGGCGCAACAATAGTGCGTACAGCATTGTGTTCTCAGAAAATATAATATATAATCTTACTAAAATTATAACATTTTTATCGTCAAAAACATAAATTAGCAAAATTTTACATTCTTTTTTTTTTAGAAATTTATAGCACAATTGTGCGTGTCAGTCGCAGAAACGAGAAATATTAATTCCGCTTTGTAATTTCGCGTCGTAGGCAAGGGCGATCCGCCGTTTCCAGACTCGAGTATACAAATGGGAAAAATCGCGCACACGTACGAGACGACGGAACGTCGTGAATCATCGCCGCCGGCGGTCCCGGTCGGAAGAATGCAAATTCGTTTAAAACTTTTGGAAGACACCAACGCGATACTGTATCTCAGAAATCAGGATCTCACCGCGAGAAACAAGAGCTTAGAAAAGCGGTGAGATGATTCATATCGCGTTTATTAATTAATTAACGCGCGATCTCACTTGTGTTACATCACGCTCGTCAAAGCGACGCGTGCGATGCGACAATCGTCGACTCACGTAAATAAATATATAGTTTTCAAACGAGCTGTCTCTCTCAATATAAATAATGTACGCAGGCTCGAAGATACCGCGATTAAAATAGAAAAACTTGAAGAGAACGTGTCAACGTTGCAAAATGAACTGAGTAACGAGAAACGTAAATTGGCGCGAACAAACCAAACGGTAAGATGTATGATGATTTATCTGATGAGATACAAAAATAACAGAGAAAATATTGAATTAAATTATTCTATTCGTAGATGTCATCGCTGTTGATGCGTACGTATCTCGAATACTATTTGTATATTTCGTTTCTCTGTTTCGTTTTCGCTAACAAATTTCGCAACGATTAAAATATAAATTTTAGTTACTTGCACGAGAAAGAAATAAAAACTATATTCCAAAAACATTCGCATCACAAAAAAAAAGGTCAAAATATTGTACCAAAATCTAAAAGTGTAAAATTAGATGAATTTGTAAATACTTGGAATTCTTTTTTGCGTAAACCATTTTCAGAGAATGGACAAAGTTTGCGTAGAAAAATGCACGTCGTCGTCGAATATCGTTTCGAAAATCGATCGCGAGTCACAAATTTGGGAAGCCTGCGAGGATTGTCACGGGAAACTTGATAGTTGCCAGAAAGAACTATCCGCGGTCACTATTACGAGGCAAGTTCTCCGACAAAATTGAAACTTGTTCGATCAGATAACAATTTAATTGCGCACCGGAGAAGTTACGCGAGTAGATACACGAGGAAAATTTTTCTACTTTCGAATTCCTGCTTATAATTGACCATTTAAAATAACCAGTTTGGCGTAATTGCTCTTGTAAATATTAACATAATTATATCCTTAACTTAAAAAAATAATGTTTCTTCGCGTATATAATTGGGTTTAAATTTAGCTTGTACGTTAGAAAAAGATTCTCGTTTGTGAACTACAATTTTCCTCGTCTGTTTACTTCCTTTCTTTTTGCGGTTGTGCGTTCATATTCCTCCTACGCGAAAACCTCCGGGATATTAGATCGGAGTTCGAGTTACTGGAGAAGGATATACGAACTTTGAGGGATGCCGTGATTGCCCGGGAAGAAGACTGGGATAAAGCGATGAACCGCGAGCGGAATTGCCGGCAGCAATTAGCAAGATTGACCGCAGAAGCGATCACCGCGCGTCACCTTTGCGAAACTCGCCAAGATGAACTTTGCACGGTTAACGAGGCTTTAACGGTAATGATCGTAAGCTGTTCGTATATGTTGAAACTATAAATTCTAAAACTAAACTTATTGAAATAAGATTTCTGAGATATAATCCCGATAAAAAATTTTTCATACGTACTTATACGCAAATTAAAATAATTACATCTAATTATGCAAATTTATATGCCGAATATGTCCATACAATTTTATACACGGAGAATTTCTTTTTTTTTTAAGAGAATGGCTTCAGAGATATTCCATATCAAATAACTCTATTAGTATCACGTTAGATACAAAAAAATTATATAAAACTATATTTTTACTATATTTTAAAAAAATTTTTGGCATATAATCATATATATTTGTACACAAATTAAAATTATTATATCTAAGTATGGAAATTTATATGTGTGTGCCGAATATGTCCATACAATTTTATACATGGAAAATTTTTTACCGGGAAGACATCAGAACTAACAAGTCCTGATACAAACAGCTACTAAAATGCTGAATTTGTCGCTTTGATGTTATAATTGATATTATAACTGAGTATACATCTCGAGAAAACAGACCTTAATAAGACCGACGCAACGATGATTCACTGCAAATGATAATTCTTATGAAGAATTAACTACCTTAGCGTTTATTAGCTAAATGAGTCTCGCTGATATTTCATTATAATATAGTTTGATTAATGTCACTTTTATGCGTGATATTGTGTTTGAGATTGAGCTGACATTTGTAATTTATGATATTATACAGTAATGTGCGTACGCGCTTACAAAAGAAAAATTAGTTTAATAAGAGAGTGTGTAAGAGAAAAACATCTTGTTTGCATAAACTTATTTTCAGCAAAAAGAATCGGAACTAAAAATTATGCAGAAGGAAACGCTTTATCTAAACAAGTTAATTTCTCAACTATATTGGCGTCAAAAGTAAGTTTTTTTTCACTTATATATCTTTCGTAGATGAGAAGTGTTGGTCTTAATTTTACATTTTATTAATTTATTTTGTTTCCTTTTTTTTAAAAAAACAAATTCTCTCTCTACGATATTTTGAGAATATTTAATAATAATAAAACTTCTTATAAGACAACTTCTCTTAATCTTGAAGATTATTTTATACAACACGGTATTTAAGTAATACAATTTCTCAGAAAACTTAAAAACAATTTTAGAGAACTCGAAGAATGTGCGAGCGGAAATGTACGTTTTAATATTAACGAAAAGGATCAAAGATACATCGAAGAGATTGCACGGCGAGTAAAGAGCTTTAAGAAGAATTCGAAAACAAAATCCAAATGCACTTCGGATAGATATTCGAACTCAAATAGTCCTCGTGAGAGCAAAGATGGACGGGATCTAGCAGGTTCTTCGGGAGACCATCGAAATTGAATTCACAATCGACATGTTGTGACGCAGAAAATCGCATTGTTGTTTATTTTGTATACCCTTTTTTTTATCGTTTTTTTCTACTATAATAACGGTGTGTGTGTGTGTGTGTGATATGTGGAGCTTTGTTAATTTTTAGAAAATATCTAAATTGTGCAATGATCAATTGAAATTAAAATCTTACGTATATATTTTACGAAATACTTTCGAAACTTCAGTGTCTTGATTTTACAGTTTTTTATGTTTTTTTTAATTATCTCGTCTTTGGTATTATTATCGAAACATGTGGCGCCATCTGTGCTATACAAAGTGAACACGGAAACAACAAGTGCACTAAAGACTTTTCGCAATTTTCTTTTGACTGTTTTCAAATTAAATGATTTTTTTTTTAATTTTATTACTTGTCAAACGCGAAAAAAAAATGTATTTCCAACAATAATTATCTCCGCTTGATTCATCTTGGCAACAATACGCCGACAAGAATATTTGTAACTAGTGTTTTTAAATTTGTAAAAAAATCTGTGACACATACTTTGTCCAGTTTTCTTTTGACCTGGTTTCTTGAACTGTTTCTCTCGATCCCGGCAACTCAGTGCTTAGAAAACTCGTCTGTTTTTCATACAACAAACATAAGATATGATTAAGACAAATACATTACAAGTGTATAAAACATTGAGTTAATTGTTAAAAAGATATTATACCAGATATCGCACCTTGCTAACCAATTTTGAAAAACCCGAACGAGAACAGATTTGCTGCACTTTTGACAGTCTCGCACGTTAATATAAAACTTACTTCTGTTTTCCGCGACATTTTCATTTTGTAGCGCGCGTCACACGAGAGCGCGAACGGTCGCGATACCATTTCATCGTAAACTAGTCGATTACTATTACCAGCAAGAGCGCGATGCTAATTATGTATCACTACAAACGGCCAATACTTTGCGACAAACGCGTACTATAGATATTTGCGCGCGAGACGATAACATTCGTGAGAAATGCGAGACGATTGCGTACGTCGCTGCTTCGCGTCGCGCGTCCCCTGCGGCGCTGTCGCTAATGTACTTTATGCGTTCGACATATCGAGAATCGAAATATCGAATCGAACATGCGCTGCAAAGAGCGCGCACGTACACAACACAGAACAGAATCAACTCCGTTGGTAAAATAACAATTTTACAAAAAGAACGTCGTTCTGTCTCGAATTTGATTGATTACGTCACATTTATTGCTGTTTATATACTTACTAAAATATACTACGAGTGTAAAAAACTACCCGGGAAAAAATGGATTAGATCTAATTTAAATCTATCGAGATAAAAAAATGGAAAAATAAATCTAATTAAATCCAAATTAAATCTAAATGGATATAAAGTAGATCTAAATTAATATAAGCAGATCTATTAAATTTACACCTTTATATATTATTTAAAATCTACTTTAGATCTACTCAGATCTACTATAATTAAAACTACTCAGATTTAGTTAGATTTGAGCAGATCTGAACAGATCTGAGGTGATCTAATATAATAGATCTGAGTAGATCTAATAATAAATAAAGATGTAAATTTCCATAGATTTACTTATATTTATTTAGATTTACTTTATATTTATTTAGATCTACTTTATATCTATTTAGATTTAATTTGGATCTAATTAGATCTATTTTTCCATTTTTTTTATCTTGTTAAATTTAAGTTAGATCTAATCCATTTTTTCTCGAATAAACAGTAATATATTGCAGTGCACAAAAAAAAAACATCAGAAAGCATACGCTTCATTTCGGAGATACGGCAATAAATTTGGTGTATTTGCATTTAAATGTTTCTTATTATATTGTTCTTTATTAAATGTTCTATAACAACAAATGATAGCATACACAGAAATTCGCAAAGACTAAAGCATAATGTATTGTTTCTTTTTCTTTTTGTATTTCTAATCAAAAACGTAATGATAAGAAGTAATAATACAAAATAAACAATAATAGGTGCTACAGTATATAACAAATTAACTAAAACAATAATACACACTTTATTCATTTTTTTACATTACTTTTTACATAGGATACGCAGGTGTCAAAATAAAAAATCACTGTTAATAATAAATATGTTGTTTAACATACAAAGATGTTTTTTCGGGTTTGAACCGCGTTAGTGTCATTTTTATACCGACGTTTCGTGAACATTACAGCTCACTTCATCAGGGTTTAAAGAGCAGCCTGATACTGAGCAGGGTTTAAAGAGCAGTCTGATACGCGTATCAGGGTGCTCTTTAAATCCTGATGAAGTGAGCTGTAATGTTCACGAAACGTCGGTATAAAAATGACACTAACGCGGTTCAAACCCGAAAAAACATCTTTGTATGTTAATACTACACACCGCGAAAGCATCAAATATCAAATATGTTGTTTATCGGACACAAAAAAGTGCGATTTCGTGTTTTCTTCGTCAAATGGTTACAAACAATAAAATAAGTTTAAACGTACACTTTCGTCAATTTTATAGTAATATTAGGTATCACAGATTATAATCATTATGAAATCGGAACGTTTTATATATAGATGTATCGCATGTAAAATACATAACTTCTTACAAAGAACAAAAACTCCATTAGACATCTATTAGATTTCACATGGAGGTGATGACAGCTAATCTTTTGTCTAGTAAAGTTTTTGTGTCGGCTTAATATTCTAACAATTATTCTTAACAAAAAACAATTTAAATCATCATTGCACACATAGTTTAGTTATCATATAATAACACTGCTCAACACATTTTTGGAACCTGAATAAAGAGTTGTCTAATAGATTTTTGGTCGCTAAAAACAAATCCGGCGGTGAAAATAATTTTTACTACATCAGGTTCTTTCGAGAAACTTGAGGTTAAATATACCAAAGTTTTGGCTTTTTTGGCTATATTTACCACTTGTTTGTGGCCAAATTGTTTTCTGCAAGTTTACTTACGCCACATTAAAGTGCTATCTTTTATATTATAATTATATAACTATATATATTAATATAGTCAGTACTATAGCTGTTATATAATCAGCAAGAAAATTGTCAATAAAAATGTTTGCTTCTTTAACGAAATGTTTTGTCGGCAAAACAAAAATCTTAATAAACTTACAAAGTAAACACAAAGTAACAGTAACGTAACATAATTGTTAATAATTTTCTACTCAATAATATGTAACTGTTTCGTATAAAACATGTTACATCGCAATTATTCTTGAGTGCAAAATTCTAACATTAATGTTACTGTTATTTTGTGTTTACTGAATAGCAAATATATGTATTTACTAAGTATATACTATATAACAGCAAAACTATTGTTTTGCGTAATAATCATTTTCAAGTTGCTGCTTTATTATATGTGTGATAATGTGTATACAAAAAAAACCCGTATTGTAATAAATAGTAATTTATATTATAGATAAAAACTAGCATTTTAATGGCGCAAGTAATCTTCCAAAAAAATGTTTGACCGCAAAATAATAATAAATATAGCCACTACTGCCATTTTTGGCACATTTAGCACTAATTTTCTTGAAACTCTGACGTGGCAAGCCAATTTCGCCGTTTTCGGATTCATTCTTCCGCGGCCACAAATCAATCCAAAAACGCTTTGTTCATTCAGGTCCCTCAAAAACAATCTATTTTTATAGTGTACTTGTTACTTCTTCACAAAAATATATTAGCAACACTCATATTTCACGTGTTAAAGAAGAAAAAAAAATCCTTTTTTATGTACCGCTTTTTTATAAATATTCAAATGTATGTGTGGTCCTATTCGTAACTATATCAAGTTTATTACATCTTGAGTGTCTAGATTTGTGATGATGTACGTTACATGATGTGATTTAAGAACGCGCGTTACAGCTCTAGACAAAACGCGAGTACCATAGCGTTAACTTTATATAATAAATAACTTAACGATTTCTGTTGACACTACTTTCGATCGATATAATGATTTGATATTATTAATAAGTTTTTCTTAAATAAATATGTCTTTACCACTTACGTTACATGTAATTACATTACATTTCTTTCTGCATCACTTTACTGTGAAAAGCTACAGGTACCTTGCTTTTTTTACATCCATCACACAAATAAGATGACTCACTTATGATATAAATGAATTAATTCATGTCGTTTTAGTTGATATTTGTATGAGAACTTCATGAGACATATCTTGAAAAAAAATTAATGTTTTATTGTTTCTATCAAAAGTAAGTGCTACCGTTGAATTTTATATTGCTTTAGACTGAAATAATGTATTTCAAAATATTGTTAACAATTTATATTGAAGAAATATTCATTTATTACCTTACACGTAACACGTTTTTCTTCATGCACGAATTTTTTGTGCTTACTTAAATTCCAATAAACCTTAAAGCTTATATTACACTCTTCACACAAATAAGGTTTATCAGTAGAATGAACTACTTTATGTCTGTTAAAATAATATTTCGAAGGAAATGTCTTAAAGCATACCTTGGAAAAAAAAAAATACTTTTGTACTTGTCAATATCCTAAGGTTCCTTGGAAAATTTTGTTTTCATACTGCTAATATATATACATCACTAGAATGTTTTATTCGTGTAAACAAATTTCTTTGAATATATAAGTCTTAATATATTACCTTACATATAAACTTTCTTGCTTCATGTATATTTTTGATATGAATGTTTAACCTTTTTTCGGTCTTGTAGTATCTTTTACATTTATGACAGAGATATCCTTCGCCTAAGTGAACTAAAGTATGGTTTTTTAACTGAGTTAAGCTCCCGAATTTCGCGGTACATATCTTGAAAAAAATAAATATTATCTTACTCTCATTATCTTCACTAAACTTATTAACGTTCTGTTTTTATATTTTGCTACTGTAGAGTAATATAAAATGTATTTACTAATAGTGTAAAATATTGTTTTTTTTTTTACACTATAAATGCTTCTTCATCTCTTACCTTACATATAAACTCTGCTTCTTTATACTTATGCACTTTCAGTTTGTGCATTTGTAAATGACTTATGCTGTTAAATGATTCGTTACATTCATCACATAATAAACTACGTGTTTCGTCATGTTGTGGAGCATCTCGTGTACTTGTCGAAG